AGCGTGACGAGGCAAGAGAAAAATAGCAAGGGATCGAAAACCGGGCTTTAAACTCTATCACATGTTGCGCGGAAAAGAAATTGGTCTCCTGCAAAAAAAGCAAGTCACAATGCTGGGACTGGGCAAAATGAATAACTTCGCGCTGCTTAGTGGGGGCAACGAAAACCTTGCACATTGAGAGTCAGAACGTGTAGTCCCAGTATTAAAGGGTAGGAAAAGCGGAGTACCATCGGACATGTTAAAATACCAGCGGGTCGGAGCTGTCGGAGTCCTCCATGTGGAGTTCAGGGCTTCGCAGATGGTCGGGGGTGTCCGGATCGTCTGGAAGCAGTCTACGATGCATCTTAGGGACAGTCAAAGCGTGGGTGGCGTCTGAGCCGCTGCTTGTCGTCGGGAGGCCACGCTTGGCGTCGGGACGAGCAGAGGGCATGTCGACGTCCTCAGCGGACGACGGGTTGGTGGACGACTCGCACGTGGGCGACGACGTCGCAAGGGTGGGCGCAGGGGCCGGGTGTCCTTGACCGGGGGTGACGTCGGCTTGGTCTGCGATGACGAGGCGGTCGGAATCCGAGCTCAGACAGTTGTCATCGACACCGGGAGCAACCTGCGCACCGGCCGTGGGTAAGGGAGCCTTGCAGACTGGGGTCGCGGGAGCCTCCTGGGACGAGGGGGCTGGGTGGTCGACCGGCGGGGGGTGATCCAGCCGTAGGACTGGGGGGCCAAAGGTGTCGTCTTCAGGTTGGTTTGGCGGACGAGAGGCACCAGGAACGGGTGAGGGCTCCGGGGGAGGGGGCGGAGGGTCGCGGGGCTGAACCGTGGCCTCGGCGTAAGTCTTGCGCTGCGTGCAGTCGGTCGTGGCGTGCGCATGGCCACAGCGAAGGCAGGGCGCCGTGCAGCCAGCGGGGGGATGACCGAACACGCCGCACCGGTCGCACCGAGGGGTCTGGCAGGCTGGACCGATGTGTCCTTCTTGCCCGCACCTGCGGCACACACGACGAAGGCCTCGATAGTCCACCATCACACGATGCCCGTGCACGGTAATAAAGTTCGGGATGGGTTTAACCATCTCCACTTTCACCACTCGGGTGCCGGTCCGGACGGCGGGGAGGTCACGGAAGGTCGCGTAAATAATTGCTTTGACCTTACCGTACGGTGTGAGTGCCTGGACGAGGGCCTCTTCCGAGACATACGGGGAAAGACGATAGACGGACACGTGGATGACGTGGCCGCCTACGGGTTCGAGGGGGACCTCGACGTCACGAAGCACGAGGCAGCCACGTGCTACGAGGCGGTTGGCCACAGCCATGCTGCTGACAGCCGCCAAAAACTTCACACCACCGTGGTGTTGAAGATACTGGAAGCCACCGGTGCCGGCGGCTACTTGAAACGCGTCCATGATCTCGTCGACCGCCTTGTGGGCGGGAACGCTGAAGGAAAAACACTGCGCCTTCGACGGGACGGTGGAAGACGCCATGTCGCAGCCAACGAAACTGCCCCGGGGGCCGCGATAAACACGGAAACCCAGGGACGCACTGGAGAAAAAAAAAACGCAACCTGGCCTGAGCTGCAAAAATCTCTTACAATATTATCATTCTCGTGATTGTTGTTTGAGCAGGAATTGCTTAAAAAGCCGATAATTCACAACAACAAAAACCGGGATCTAGCTCGGAGTCCGCCAGGCTGCTTATAGCATTTTTAGCGTTTCTAACTTAATAACAGCATGATAATAACATAAGAGATTTCTGCAGCCCATCGAAGTTGAAGGGTGGACAGCATGCACAGTATCAAAAACGCTGACATTGAGGAGAAATTTTAAAAGCGATATGACAGGTCATTGGGGTATATCAGGCGCTTGTTCAGGGTGACTCCGAATTACGCTCAAAACATGTGTAACCAAAAATGGGGTTGAAATTACCGATCAGTAAAGACGGCTGAGTCTTTTAGCGCGGGCCGGGGCACTTGTGGGACATCGCAAATGGTCTATTTCACAATAACCCCGAAGCGCTTATCGCTTCGTGATTCGTATGTCGGCGTTTCTATCGGCTAAGGCCGAATTCTCATCGGGAGGGATAACGAGGTGCTCGTGACCTCGGATCAACGCCCTGCGTTTTGTATGCTGTCGGTGACTTAACGGCGAGCAAGTGCTCCAAAATGCGTCTTTCGCGCATCGTAACGCAAGGAGGGGCATGCCAATCAGAGGGCGACACAAAGAACGCGTATATACGGAAACGCGTGATGACGAGGCAGCAAAGCGCGCGCCTTTCTCGCTTGAGTTCGGGGTAACACAAAAGCACGTGTCGCGTTTGGGGTGAAAACGGACGCACGAGGTACACAAGTAGCAGGCGAACTTGCAGGCCGTATGTAGAGGTTTACGCCGACGGTTTCACAGCATAATTTTACATCATGTGGTCTTTACTGATGTGTGTGCGAGATAAAAGTGCGCTCATACGTTTTGAATAAATAAAAAAGGGAGGGATTCTAGCTCCGTCGTATCTAATAGAAGAGAGTTTTTTTTTTATGGTCTTAGAGGTTTGTTTTTAGAAAAAAAAGTGAAAATCTAAACTAATGCGGTCTCTGCAGGTGAGTTACACGGCTAGGATGACAAAATACAGGGTGATAATCGTCACGATGACTCTGTTAATTAACTATAATTGTTAGTCAACTTTATTTTTTTTTTTTTATTCTTGGAGATAAAGGCAGGATTTTAATCAATAGCCTGTTGAGCATTATCGAAAACCACTAATTGAGTCAGTTTTAGAAAGATTTTTGGCATGTGGGAAGCGCGGTAGTGCGCTAAAGTTACGACACGCACAACAAGCGCGAGGCTAATCAAACAAAAACGCGCCAGCTCGTTTTTTTTTTTTTTTGCTTTTGTTTTTTTGCGTTTTCGCGCTTCCAGCGTTCCGCCCGGTGCACGAGCGGTAACCTTGGTGCACCACCGCGCCTTCCAGGAGTCCCAAATCTTTTTAAGATGTGGTTTTCCATGACGCTCCATACGTTCCTAATTGAAACCAAACTTTTATTCTCAATATTTAAAAAGATAATCGACAAGTTTTAGTTCATATTCGACTTTTCGTCACGATTAGCCTTCTATACTATGTCCCCGTGGCCGTATAACACACCTGCACAGACCGCATTATCGTAGCTTTCATAGGTTTTTGTAAACAAATCTGTTAGGGTTTAGACAAAGAAACCTGTATTTCTGCGAAGGAAACCCCTTTGACTCGTTTAGTTGATTTTATCGCATACAGCGTATGATGTTTGCCGCATTGCCAGCGATTATAAACCCTGGAAAGCATCGCCAGACTTTACCCGAAGGCGAACAGCGGAAAAGACGCGGCCTTTAGTGGAAGCCTAAAGGTGGATCTACTAAATCTAATAGACGGCCACTCTCTTAAGTAGAGGGGCTCTGCTAAACATCATAGTTCAATTCTGTTTCAAACTTTCTTCTTTAACGTAAAAAGAGTGAGAGTAAACATCAACTTCAAAATACACTCTCCATTAACGTGTTCATTGCACTCTCCTGTATAGCTTCAAAATGACAGTCGACGTTTCGTAAGAGGCTTGCCTTCTCCAAAGCCTTGAAAAACAAAAGTGGTGGAATCATATGGGAATTTGCAACACACTCGGACGTATAACTGAGATTACGGCAGCAGACAGTTATAGCGCTACGGTGGACAGTAGACCCCAAACAGTTACCTGGGATAGCTATATAGCTTCTTTTGTTCACCTGAACTCGTGCTTTCCAGCAAAGTATATTGGAGCGACCGCGTGGATTATGAGCCAACTCCTTCGTTCCGCCTTACGATGCACCGCGCGGCGTACACTAGGAGCCATCGCAGCCAATCCAGCGTGGCGGACGAACCACGTGACAACGCGCCCCACGCGTTGCTGCGCTCCTCCAGATGGTCACGCGACGATACTCGGACCTTGATTGGCTTCGATGGCTGATGGGGTCCTCTGCGGTCCACTGTGTAAGGTGAAACGGAGTGTATACATGACCGGCCGCTGCGTCGTTTTCAGCTTCTCTAAGATTCCGACGTACGGTGCTTCCCAGCGAAAGATATTATACTGAAGCTGTAAACTATTTACGAAAATGGCTATCCCAGTAAGTCTCTTGCACGTAAAGTGCCTTCTGCGTAGAATATAATACCAAAGTCATTCTGAGAAGATGCCCGAAAAAGGGCAATCGCAGTAATCCTCCTCTCTTGACCCTCCAAAGAAGAAGCAGGGCGCGGGAACGTACGCTATGCGAATACGTTTTTGGAACCAAGAGCGTTTCATTCTCTCCGTTTTTGAATGATTGCTTGCAGTAGTGTATCAGGACGAAATCCTGCTGAAACTACCGAGACGACCAGGAGGTCTCACCGTTTAAGTATAAGAGCCCACCCGCCTTTTCTTCCGTTTTTTTTTTTTTGTTTTCTTTCAAAATGCGGTTGATGGTATTATTAGAATCTAAATCAGTGGCGCAAGCATATCTAGAAGAAATGAGAGTCCTTCCTTTAAAAGCTGTCCACTGGCTTCTCCACGTAAGCGGCGCAAGTAAGACGTGGCACAATGTGGAAAGAGCTATTGTCTCCTTCGGTGGTCATTCCGTTGGATCTTTTTTACCCTCGGGATGAAACGGCGAAAAAGAGGCTAGCAGAGAGGCTGGCAGAGAGGCTGGCAGACTCTTAGAGAGCTGCACCGTACCGTTAGTGAGACAAGGCTAATCTTTTTTTCTCCACGTCCATACCACGAAAAAGGTTTGTTTTTGTTGTTGCTAATAGTCTCTTTTTTTTTCTTTTTTTTTTTCGCTAGGGATGTTGTGAATTTGTGCTGAACCTCTAGGTTCGAATTGTTCGTAAATTATTCGAACTTCAGGCAATATTTGACGGAGTTTGACTTTTGAATAATGTTTCTCAACTTCTACACACACTTCTTTTCTCTTTTTTTAATTTTGGAAAATATATTCGGATGTATTTCTTAGCGCTGGTTGAATGCACCTTCGCCCATTTCAGATCTGCCCCGAATGGAATCGCTGGAGCCCTCAGTTGGAAAACAGCACAAAGTGCACGGTTGGCCAGAGTGGAAGAGATTGGATAGGATTCGAAGCGGCTCAAAGCGTCCTCATCAAGGTACCCGCGACGATACGTCTCACAGGCAGCTTAAAGGGGCGATGCAACAATTTTTGTACTTGGCGCAAATACCGCTTAGAACGAATCCCTGACGTTAATGACCTAGGAAACACGCGTTCGTTTCTCACCACACGCAATAAAATTCGCAAAATACAAATAAAAAAACGAATAGCGTACACTCCTCAACCCGCAGCCAGAACAAGAGACCACGTGATCTGGAGCCGATTATATGCCGCCAATGGTGATCATAACCACGCGCTGGGGTTGGCAAAGCACAGGACACGCGCCGAGTTCCAGACACTGTTATGGTTCGGCCAGGTTCGGCCACGGTGTAAGATACACTCTTTAGGTGATGACACGGCGGGGCTGAACGCGCGGCGCGAGGAATCAGATAGTGTTCGTTCGACGGGCATCCGAAAGGCTGCATCATTCCGCGGCCAAAGCGCCCGCGGCTGACAGTGTCGCCGGCGTCCAAACGGCGAAACTGTGTGAGAGCGGAAAAAACATAATCTCGTTGCCATGACACCAGTACACCGTGGTCTTTCTGCACGTGCGACGACCTCGCTGGAGCTCTGCGCGTGTGTTACATGAGGTGGCACGAGCCGTCTTGTACGTGCCCACGGGTCGACGAGTCACCTGCCGGCGCCGCTTCAAACCATAGTGAGAGAGAGTGAAGAGCGAACTTTTCGGGCACGTCGCGAGGAGCGCGCTGTCCTCAGCTGATGAGTATTGGGGAATTGTAGTAGACCGTTTCCGCAGCCCGCTAAGCACCCGGATATGTACATATATCCGGAAGTATCACGTAATATATGTATATATTACGTGATACTTTAAATATTGTACTGCTTTTTTTTTGTGTGTATAGTGTTTTTGTACACGGCACGTGCCCTCAGTTATTAGTTATTGGTGATAATTTTTGTCAGTATATTGTCATTGTTAAATTTATTATCACTTTTTACGTGCATTTAGTGCTCTTGTTTTCTATTTTGCGCTCTCGGCGCGTTTTGTATTTAAACTTGTAATTACTTTATTGTTCGTAGCTCTGTTGGAGGTATGAGTCATATTCTTTTTTGTGTGTGTGTGTTTGTTCCTCCCTGCCACGGCCCCACGGGCCAGCAGTATGTACAAATAAATAAAAATAATAAATAGATAGCGCTCTGTAATCCGCCACAAGACCTTGAACTATGCAGATAAGGCTGGCGGCGCGCATGCGCAGCTGCAGCGTTTTCGTCATGGATACCGTAGCGGAGGAGAAAACGGTTTACTACAATTCCCTATTAGGGAACTGTAGTAGACGTTTCCGCAGCCCGCTAAGCACCCGGATAGCGCTCCGTAATACGCCACACGACCTTGAACTATGCAGACAAGACTAGGGGCGCGCATGCGCAACTGCGGCGTTTTCTTCGGGGATACCGTAGCGGAGGAGAAAACGGTTTACTACAATTCCCTATTAGGGAATTGTAGTAGAGCGTTTCCGCAGCCCGCTAAGCACCCGGATAGCGCTCCGTAATACGCCACACGACCTTGAACTATGCAGACAAGGCTGGGGGCGCGGATGCGCAACTGCGGCGTTTTCTTCGGGGATACCGTAGCGTAGGAGAAAAACGGTGTACTACAATTCCCTATTAGGGAATTGTAGTAGAGCGTTTCCGCAGCCCGCTAAGCACCGGATAGCGCTCTGTAATACGCCACAAGACCTTGAGCTATGCAGACAAGGCTGGCGGCGCGCATGTGCAACTGCGGCGTTTTCTTCAGGGATACCGTAGCGGAGGAGAAAAACGATCTACTACAACTCCCCGTGGGTTCTGCTACATTGTTCTAGGGCTTGTAGTGGCAAGAGCGGCACCCGCTTACAATGGGCCGCGTGAAGACGGTTGACGTATATGGCCATGAGTGGCGCTGGGGTTCCGGGCCCTAGGAGAATTGGTGGCAGATGGCAGATGTGCGATGAGCGAAGAAGAAGGCGAGGCTGAGGCGGTAGCTTCTCCCGAACGTAGCACCGTACCACTTTTCTTTGTGGTGTGGTGGGGAGTCTTCACCGTTCCGTTACCGTCTCGGTCATGAATGCAAGGAAAAAGACGGACACACACTGCTTCGCGCTGGGATGCCAGTCGGGCTACCCGGAGAACCGGTGCAGCCGTAGCACCAGCTATCGTAAGACGTCGCTTTTCGTGCGCCAAAGGAGGAGTCGCGCAGACTACAGTGGGAACAAAATTTTGAACGAGAAGATAAACGCCTCGCCGAGACATCAGCGGTGTGCGAGAAACATTTTGAACCGCGCCTTATCCCTCGGGACTATGTGCACATCGTCAATACCGAAGAGGTTAGGATTCTGTGCCGCAATATATAATGAGTATTTTGTAGTCATTTTGCGTAGTATGTTGCTGGGTGTCTGTCATGGGCTTGCTGCGTATGTCGATGAGGTGTATTACAACTTTTGAGAGGTGTGTTGAGAATATTTTTCTTTTCATATTAGGGTTTGTTGAAGTTTGTGTTCATATTGTATTTTAATGCTTCATGTACTCCCAATCGAGGTATTTTTTCTTCGTAGACTGCCTTCTACAAGAGACAATTTGCTATATGTTCGCCAGTTGCAGTGGCACCTTGGCCGTTCCCAAACGCGCTCGGCCTTGCACCTTACGCAACGCTGGTCCCCGCATCAGCAACACGATGGCAAAAAACGATACACCAGTTTATTGTTCCGCTCACCACTAAAAAATTGCGAGATTTATTAGTCTAGCTTTCCTTGCTATATCAGTACCTTATGGTTTCTTTCGCAGCTATTAAGCGTGCAGCCCAAGTGATAGCGTTGCTGAATGATCTGTCAGTATTGTTAAGGGGAGGGGAATCGATATTAACCAAATAATCGCCCTCAAGAACAACCAAATATTGAAAGTAAAGGATATCACACACTGTAGAGGCATCAGTTTAAAGGGAGACCTACCATTTTTCACATTAGCAAGTGTTCTGCTTCGCGAAAAGCTCCAGTCGAACCGCAATAGCACACGCCGAGCAGCGCCGACGACGAAGCTGACGAGGGCGCGTTCCTAGGGCTCAGAACAGCAGCGCCAAGGTGTCGTCTACGCGCAAAATCTTGCCTCTACAACTCTCTAGAACACTCTAGTTCGGCTATTGTCGTCACTGCCGCGACTGGACACGGGCCACTACTCGAATGCTTGTCCAGCTATTGATTATCACGAGCTCGAATCGAGTTCTCACGCAATGCTCGGGTTCAATCGATGAGCCGCATTCAAATGTCGTCGCTGGGCGGTACTGCGACCGCCTATTTACGTCATCTAGTTTTGCGAAGGAGAGATTAAACGAAAACGCTCTCTTTTGTCTTTGAAATTACACCGCAACAAAGGATTTTCTTGGCCAGTGGCGTTGCGCGCGAGTATCCTTGGTTCCACTTGGTTTGTGTCAGTAAACTCGTGTGCACTGAAAAATATTCCAAGCTAATATCGTTGCAAGGCCTCTTTAAAGGCCGACTTACAGAATCGTCTTCTGCCGGGCAGAAAACCGGATCCCAGCTTCCTTCTCTCCCTTCCATCTCGCCTTCTCCTCCTCTCCCCACAGAAGCGGGTCTCTGTGCTACTCCCCGCAGGAAGGAGGAGAATCTCCATCATTCTCGAACGGAAAGGAGGAATTGAGGGAGAGTTTCCTTCTTTCTGCTTCTTGGTCGGCCTGTACGAAACGCCGACGACGTGCATGCTTCGTGCACGCTTCGTGATTGGCTGTTTGGCGTCCACGTCGTCTAATACCGCAACTTCATTGGCTGCCGAGCGATCACAATATATTCGAAACCCGTCAAACCCTGCTTTCCTTACGTAACCTCTCGGTTACTCTAAAATACGCCAAACACTTCGGGTACATATGACGTAAATCTGTGGTCCCTTATCACGCCTTTCTGTAATTTTCGCCAGGTAGTATATTTCAATTCAACAAATATGCTTGTCTTCTTTTTTTCTATTATTATTTCTCTCCACTCGATTTTTTGGTGTAACGTAAAACAAACTTCGAAATTTGTGTATTCTATAAAGGCCCGTATTCACACACTTGCCACTGACTCCTTAGGACAGAGTGCCTTAAAAACTCTTAAAATATCTTACAACGAGAGAACACACTGGCACGCAGGAGCCATCTATGCGGTGACCCTGTAACTTCATTTCACTCGAGCGAAGGCTTTGCGGTATTTGCGAGGTCTAGTATATACGTGCCACCTATTAGAAATGGTTGTTTATAACATTGTCAAAGTTTGTTCTTTTTCCATCCGAGAAAGAAAAAAATGATGCGCCAGAGAAATAGGGCATACAAGGGACCGCCAAGTGTTCAGTATTCAGTAGCACCAAAATTCTTTTACATCAGGGAAGTCGCTCCCAAAAAAATGTTGCAAACCTGTTTCAAAAAAAAAAAAAAAAGAAAAATTGTTGTTGATATGACTTGGATAAAAAAAAAAGTAAATACGAAAACGCTGCTGCCCGAGAGGTGGTGCCAGTGTGTCCTCTCGTCGTAAGAGATTTTAAGAGCTTTTAGGGCACTCAGTCTTCTGAAGTCGTAAGTATGTGAAAGGGCTTTAAACCGTTGGTGAAAAATATTGCTGCTCGTTTTTCGTGTCGACATTACTTTCAGGAGCTAGTAAAACGAGAAAAAGTCTGCCTTTATTTTGTCTTTGCTCTCGGGTCAACTTATATATCGCGCCTACGACCAGCAACCGCACTTATCTGTCCAAGGTCTTAGAGTGAATCGATCGCAGCATGCGGTATGAACAGAGTTCGTGTGTCTGAAGCTCTCTTTCATCTGACATTTTGAAGCTTTCTTCCTTCTTGCGACTGGTAAGATTTAAAAAGAAAAGAAAGCGTTGCGAATATAAATTGTCAAATAAACGAGAGAAAAAAATTGCAGCAAAGTAGAAATTTGGGCTAGTTGGTTCATGATTGCAGCCTGTCTTCGCCATGCTAGACAAAATCCATCTACGTAGAATCCGTACAAGTCTTGTGTAC